TAGAAAGGTTAGCAAATAAATCTTCGACGATTTTCTCTTAATAAAAACATGTTATTTTTTTATGAATATTGGTACTGCATATAAACAAGATGTAGGCTTAGAAAAGTTTTTCTGACTGGTTCCGTCCTGTTCAGAAACAATGTTTTGCAGACGTATAAATGTAAGTTTATACGAGAAATAGAATAATAAATTAATGTTCTTTTCTCTTTATTTTTTTTATGAAGTCGGTAGGACTGACAAATTAATACAAATAATGGGTTATATATTATTTTTATGCTACCCTTTCTCAACAAAGCATTTTGAATTACGGTTACCGATAGATGTGTAATAAGTTATCGGCAGGGAACGACCCGGTGATTGGTGTACACGGACTGTGAGTTTGGGTTTATGATTTGCGACCCTTAGCATAAAAACACACAGGAGCCATGGGTGCATTATAAGAGTAAGCGTCTAATCCCACTATACAATCAGATAATAGCTTACGGTGGATGTTGCTAACTAGCTTATTATTTAACAGTTTAAGATTAGGGACGACTATGTGTAGGTAACTCCTGTGTAACTTTTTATGATATTCTCAAACATAAGAACCAGGGAATAAAAAGTTAAAACTTTACCGAATTGTATATGTGAAAGAGATTGCTGCTTTTACTGCCCTCTGTTATAAGGAAATTAAACTATTGTAATTAATTTAACCTGCATGGATTTTACAGCTATCTCAAAATATTTGAAATATAATAATTTTGAAGTCTAAGTATTGGTAATTTATAATGTCAAAATCATTATTTTTGAAAACTTGTAATATTATCTACAAAAATCTAATTATTATTATCAGTGAAACACGTTAAAAAACTTTAAATGGTCCAAGAATCATACGTTAGAAAAATTTACTTTTTCTTTTCAAACAACCCCCCAGTGGCGCAGCGGGTATGTCTGCGGATTTACAACGCTAGAAACATGGCTTCGATACCCGTGGTGGGCAGAGCACAAATAGCCCATTGTGTAGCTTTGTGCATAATTTCAAACAAATAAACAAACTTTTCAAATAAAATATTAGTTTTTATACAGAATTAAATCTGTACATACCTACATTTCCACTGGAAAAGGCCCGGCATGGCCAGGTGGTTAAGGCACTCGACTCGCAATCTGAGGGTCGCGGGTTCGAATCCCCGTCACACCAAACATGCTCGCCCTTTCAGCCGTGGGGGCGTTATATGTGACGGTCAATCCCACTATTCGTTGGTAAAAGAGTAGCCCAAGAGTTGGCGGTGGGTCGTGATCGACTAGCTGCCTTCCCTCTAGTCTTAC